ATTTTGTAAACAATGTTTAAAAGGTGGGGAGTATTGGCTGTGTTAAAGGATAGGGTGTCAGCTGTGAAATGGGATGGTATGTGTGTCTAAAGTAAGAGCAAAAACATTATGGTAACAACAAAGAGAGTGTTTGTTTTTGTGTGTGTAGGGAATATTCTAGTAAGTAATGTAAGGCTAAAAACAAAGTTATAAAAACAGGTTTTATGTATAAACACGATATAAATATATGGCATGATTATAATTTTGGGGTGAATATACAATATTTTAATTTTTTTTATAATTCATGACTCAGTCGAATAGTGTGATTGGCCAAGCTTATTTTTACACCGAGTAACTTTTTTAAAAGAAAACTAACGAGCTTTTTTTTATCGCAAGTGCTTTTTATCGCGTGTTTAATTAGTATCCTAGCTCTTGGAATTCGGCTAAAATGTATTGGTTAAAAGTCAATATAATTTTAATGTAAAATATTTCATTTTAAATGTCTAGACTAGATTAAATTGAAATGCACATTGGTAAAATGCTAATATAGAATTAATGACCTATTATTATAATTGTACTGCATACATTATGTATTTATTAATAATAATTAATTATGACTTATAGAAGTATTAAGTAATAATATGCTATTAATTAAGAAGTAAATTAAGTACTTATTAAGTACTAAAGTAAAAAACACGTAGAACACTAACATATATAACGAGTTAAAATTTTTTACTATAAGTTTGCATAATTTTAATATTTTTAATATTTAATAAACATTTTGAATTTTATAGTCCGGATACCTATTGGCCGACGATTACAGTAATCGACTCTATTTTAAACAAAAACAAAAACAATTGACGAATTAATTTATTGACCTAGTTAAAAAATAAAATTAGTAAAATACAATATTTGTAGAAAAAATCAATTTTTTATTCTAAAAAATCAAAAATAAAAGTTTATAAATTAGAGCTTAAAAATTTGGGTAATATTTGTATAACATTTTATATACGTTTAATATATTGTAATGTAATTAATAAAATTATTATCATAAAAGATTTTATAACTGTGTTTTTTAATTTAATTATAACCATGTTTAAAAATAGTAGCATACCGGCAATAGTTAAACACATCGTTCACACTTTATCATTCTTATTATTTATATGGTTTACCTTCTGGGTCACGGGTGCTCTCACACCCATCCCATCGCACCCGACGGCCCACCCATTACTTAGATGTGTTGTATTATTGCTGCAAATGCTGTCCATACTATCGTTACCGCAATATATTTGCCAATTTGTGGGTCTAATTGTGTTGAACCCGTTTAATGAGTCGGTGCCCCTCAAGTGCGACCCCCTGTCCGCCCCTTTCATATGCTTCCGAGTGGTCACACGAGGAGACTATAGGCGTTTGGTTGCGGATAATGTCAAACGACACGTGAAAGTGTGTGAAAAGGTTGGTCTCAAAAACTTTGTGGTCGAAGTGGTGACCGAAAAGCCTTTGGAGTTAGACACCGGTGACCGCAGAATCCGGGAAATTATTTTACCCATTGAGTATCAGCCAAAGAACGGGGCTATTTTTAAAGTAAAAATGTCATTATTGTGTATCTCAATTGCTATTCATAATTAATAATGGTAAAATTGATACATTTAATACATTTTATTTGCCAACATTATAAGGCAAGAGCGTTGCAGTACCGGTTGGACACCAACGAGTTGGCCGACAACGACTGGATCGTACACTTGGACGAGGAGACAGTGATGACCGGTCGGTCGGTTAGAGGTGTCGTCAACTTTGTGGCCGACGGGCGACACGACTTCGGACAGGGACTCATCACATACGCCGACCAACGGGTGGTCAACGCGTGGACAACGCTTATGGACTCCCAACGAGTGGCCGACGATTTGGGTAAAATACGCTTTCAGTTTAAGTATTTTAAGAAACCTGTGTTCAGTTGGAAAGGTATGTTTACAACAAGAGTTAATTACAAAAATATTTTACCCAAATTTTATCATAGTTAAGTTGTAATATACTTTAACACCTTGTTTTACCCCTATGTCTATTTGATGACCGCCAATACAAAGGCTCGTATTTTGTGTGTCGAGTGAAGGCTGAGCTGAGCGTCGGGTTTGATCACGGATTGGACGGATCGATAGCCGAGGACTGCTATTTCGCGATGAGAGCGCTGTCGTGTGGGCACAGGTTTGGCTGGATTGAGGGCCCGATGCGGGAGGAGTCGCCGTT